TGGAAAAGTGAGTTGATGGAGATGCTGTCAGTTCACATGAGAAAGTAGAGAAGGGAAATGTTTGTGAGGAGAGAAGACACTTTTCTTTACAAGGGGATCTTTCTGACCTTGAGGTTTCTAGGTGGGTTTGTCCAGCAGGTTTCTAAGTTGTAGACATATATCCCCATATTTCTAGAGATCTTTTGATATTAAAGATGAATTGTTGGGGCCTGCCTGGAGGTGCAGGGAATGGGGTAGAGCCTGCCAGCGAGGTTTCTGGCAGGAGATTCCCAGGCAGTGAATTGGGTTTGCCATCTTGGGATACCATGACTGTCTGGGGACCTTTTGCCCATGTCAGGAGAACATTCAGAGAGAAAAAACAAAACAACACAAAACAAAACCAAAAAGGTAACTGCTTGGGGATCATTACTGTATGAGCATTAGTTGAATTCATGGAGATGCATGAAATAGGCTCTGGGAGCAAGTAGAAAGAGAAAAACTGGATGGATACTGAATCCTGGAAACTGTCATTTAAGGATTAAGGTGAGAAGTCTGGAATGTTGGGGAGAAAGCAGAGGAAGTCAGTTAATAAATTGTTGTATTCAGTTGAGAAATTATGGGGCCTTTGACCAGCTGTGAGGTTGGTAAGAGGTAAATGGATTTAGGTTGTTTGCAGGATGATCTGTTAAAGGCCTGGTTACAGGGCTCAGTCAAGTAATCAAGGGCAATTACAAGCTTTTTGGATTGTGGAATTTTATTATGAAGTTGGGGATGGAGAGACTGCAGGAGATCACAGTCTTGTGGCTGTCCATGTTTGACTGTGGTACATGTTAGATAACCACGTGGAGATGTCAAAGGGCTGTGGCAAAACAGGAAGCGTTTCACAGATTGGAAAAAGGAAAAAAAATAGGAGTTATGAAAATAGATGATTTGTAAAATTATATATCTGGATAAGAGGGTTATTTTTCAAAATAAGAAAGGAAATAGCCACTGGTGGTGGCACATAATATAAACCCAGCACTTGGGAGGCAGAGGCAGGCGAATCTGAGTCTGAGGCTAGCCTGGTCTACAGAGTGAGTTTCAGGACAGCCAGGGCTACACAGAGAAACCCTGTCTTGAAAAACAAACAAAAAAGAGGTTTTTTGTTTAACTGCACCTAGAAACATCAAATTTAAAAAGATCCCATTCCATGGTGATTCTGGTATCCAAACATCACCTTATCACTTCCTCACACTAACAGACATTAGCTTTTCACTTTTTCAGTCTAGGATTAATGAATGTTTTTGATGTCTGTCTTTTACTTCTCAACCTATCCTGTATTCTTTTGCGTGGGTTTGAACACATTAATAATAAACTCAGAATTAACCAATAATGCATTGGTGTCAAAATAGGGTAAGGAATCCAATTGGTGTCATTTAATCAAGAGCAAGCCCAGATTTGAATTAACTTCTCTCTACCTGTGCCTTGCATTGTCTTTCTGTCTGTTGTATGAGTCTGAATCTGTGCCTACCTGAATGTTGTCTTGTGAATCTGTTCCTGTGTCTGCCCACATCTGTTTCTAACAAAGGATTTTGCTTTCTTTTATTGAACAGTACAGGAAAGCATCACATCAGGGGAGGAATGAAGGGCATTTTCCATAATCTTTCACAGAGTTTTACAAAGGGTGAAGTCATTGACTCCAGCTAACCCCAGTGCACTCAGATAACAGCCTTACAGACATCATTGTGAACAGACTTAACAACCTATATCCATGGTTTATTCAACATTTGTGGTAGATGGTCATTTTACAAGGCCATGTCCAGCCTATTTTCTGTTTCCAGCAGATGATTATAGCATTTGTACAAATACATGTGTAGTACCTTGGGCCAGGGATATAGACGAGTACATAATTTAGGGTTGTAGCTATGCATAGCTTATGTTGTAGAAGTTGATTATGTGGGAGCTCCAAGGCAAGTAAGGTTGGTAGGTTAAAGGTAGGTTAAAACAAACAGGCTGAGTACAAAGTGGTCTAGAAGTCTTAAATGACTTCAAGGTGTGTTCATGAACACCTGGCTGTGAGGCTCAGCAAGAGTTAGAATCTCTTAGAATGTAAGAGGCATCTTTACCATAAAGTATACCATTTCTTTTAGTTGATAACTTTTATTAAATGGTCCTCTCCTGATGTGAGAAAATTAAGGAGAACTTTAGAAATAGACTGAGAAGGAAGGAGATGGTAAGGAGTTTGTGAAATTGGCAGTAGTTTATGGATTTACCAAGAGCAGTGTTAGTAAAGTGGGAATATAAGCCACAATCAGTAGACCTAAGAGCAACCCAGAGGCAATGAAGATGGAGCAGGATGCCTGTTAGTAAAGTGTGTTTGTGAGCTGATGCAAGAGACGGTGGGGCTCTACAGGGATGTAAATCCACAAAATGTGTTTCTTCTGACAGGACAGATGGAGAAACAGACAGAAAGACATCTTTATAAGAACAAAGGCCAAAGTTTGTGGGGTACATGGGCTGTATGGCTTGGGTAAGGAGAGGGGGAGATTTCTAGGGCATCATTGCTTTGGACTGATGTAAGAACATCTTGTTATTTTGAATCATAGAATGATGGAATTGTCATAATTTGAAATGGAAAAGATTTATCTTCCTATCACTTAAGGTAGAACTCCTTTTTTATTGAACAAGCAGGAAAAGATTTTGATGAAAAATAGATGAGTTTTTTTTAAGTTTATTATTTAGGTTTATGAAGATTTTGCTTGCATGTATGACTGTGCACCACATGTATGCCTGGTATCTGTAGAGACCAGAAAAAGGCCCTGGATCCCCAGAACTGGAGTTAGAGATGGTTGTTAGCTGCCATGTGGGTGCTGGGAGCTGAACTCAAGTCCTCGCCATCCCTCAAAGCATAGATGATTTTGAGAATGAAAATTTTCCATTTGTGTTTCTATTTAACCACTGACTATGGCCCCATGTGGGGATCTGGAGATTGTAGAGTGTGAGTCAAATAGACCCATGATATTTTCCCAGAGGACTGCATGTTCTGAAGGCTCTATTGTGAGAGCAGAGTGCCAGCTAAATTGCCCCCTGAGACCCACTAGATGAGCTCCCACTGTTGGCTCCTTGAGAGAGTAGCAGTGGTTTGATCAGCTATTGACAGGAAAATAGCCCCACAGGAACAGGACCACGTACTTGGTTAGTAGCTAATGAACAAGGTCTCGAGAATTTCTCTTCATGCTCTACAGCCTAGAAACAGGAAGAGAGTGGATCATTTAGTGCAGTGCTTCTCAACCTTCCTAACGCTGTGACCCTTTAATACAGTTCCTCATGTTGTGCTGCCCCCCAGCCATAAAATTTTTGTTGTCACTTCATAACTGTAGTTTCAACTCTTATGAATCATAAAGTAAATATCTATGTTTTCCAATGGTAGTAGGTGACCCCTATGAAAGGGTTCTTTGACCCCCAGGTTGAGAACTGCTGATTGGGTGTTAGAGGAGGAATATGGTTGCCTTACAGACTAACATCAGTGTGATATATTTTATTACAAACCACAGTGCAGTTAATATCCTCCTAGAGAAAGTGTCCCAGAAAATGGTATTTCTATTTAAATGAAGCTCAGAGTTCATAGAAAAATCATCAAGTTTTATGTCAATCATCCCTTTCTAAGATGAAATGAATCATGTCTCTCATTTTCCAGAATTACCTTTCAGATTAGCAGTCCTCTAAGTGGTAGTTCACCTTGCAAGTTGAGTTTCTCTGCTATCTGAAGTGTAATCTAGCCTACTATGCTTACTCTACTGAAACATTTCACCTAGTATTACCATAAGGGTATATCCAGTACAGCAAATGGTTGAGAACAGTTGTGTTCACTTTTGGAATATGCGTGCTCTGAGATAAACCCTTCATCAACTTAGAAAATGTCCTATAGCTGGGAAAACACATCGTTAATTTCACCTATTTGTTTTCTGGAGATTAACAGCTGCTTGATTTGATTCAGATGAATTTCAGTCCTTGCCTGTGCCTTGCTGTGCCTTGCCTGTGCCTCTCTGTTGAATCTCCCCGAAACAGTGTCATTCTCTATGAAACTCATCCTTGTTGTTGCATTATGGAAAGCAGTTTTCACCACACTGTTTGTATGCTGTGTGGATGATGTAAAGCATTGGGCTTCCATTTTTATGGTAGCACAAATAGATAATTTTTTCCTTAGGTTTCTGGAAAGGAATGATTGTCTGTGGGGTTTAAATCTCCAGAATGAAGACTTTAGCTGAGCTGTGTGTTGAACATGGTTTTCTTCTGAAAACTATTTTCTGGGCATGTATGGTGTTTTTCAGTATCAGATGGTTGTTCATCCATTGATTGCATCTCTCTCATTATAGTGATAGTGTCCTGCAATGATTGCAAGTTTTCTGTTTGTATTTTTAAAAACCCTTTTTCCTATTGAACATACTTTAAGCGTGAGTTTTAATTAATTTTCAGTTAATATTTCTGTTTTCAATGTATCTGTTTTCTGAATGCATTTTTAATATAGTAGCTGGTGTAAGGGGATGCAGTCGGTGTTAGAATGTTAAAAACTGGCTCACATCAAGAAACAACCAATGGTTCTGGCCCTTTAAGCCCAATTCCACAAGACAGAACTGTACAGTATAGACAGAACCCTGCCAGATGCTGTGCAAGGCTGATTGTTGTAATTTATTTTAGTTATGCTATCCACACAAAGGGACTGCTGAATGGTGTCTGAGCTCTCTTTCCTCAATTTAGGGAACACGATAACTTTGTGCTGGTTTCAGTAGTCCTCAAACGTATGCCTGTTTCACTTAGGTGTTTTCTAGAGCTGAATCATCCCTTTCCAGCAGATTGTAATGTTTTGTCACCTTTAATTATTGTTTAAGTGGAATGATATTAGTAAATAGTCTCATTCACTTTAAGCCTCTGCTTGTATAAATAATATGGGATGGTTTCAGTTCTAATGAGATAGAATTTTGGATACTTAACATTAATTCTGAAGTGAAATGTAAATTACATGTCTTTCTGGTAACTTACAGCGCTTTGAGCTCCAAGGTTCTGGAAACTCCCTGCTCCCTAAAGAGATTATAAGAGTGGAGAGGATGACTGACAACTGCATCTCCCAAGCTCACGTGACAATCCAAGTGGCAGGAAAAGAAGTAACCATTAAGGTACTTCATCACAGGTTTATTCATCCTAAAATCTGTCTCATTCTGGCCACTTCTGTGGCCTAAGTTAGGCTTTTGATCCACTGGTAAGTCTTTGGCTCTCTCGATCCACCCGTTTGACTACATCTTTAGCCAGAGCTGTGTGCTTCTAAGTGGGAAGAGTTCAGGAAAATGGGGAAAGCCTTCCTTCACAAATGTGTAGTTTACCTCTGAGAAAATCAAGTGTTGGTTAATGGGAATGTTTTGTGCCATGAGTTTTTGCTAAGGAATAGTGCTTCTGAACAGATACTCTCTAGCCAAGAGAAAACCGGTTTTCTTCAGTGGACTGCCACTGAGTACAACAACAACACTCCAGGGCAGGCCCCGTGCCCACAAGTAGTTGGCTAACACAAAACAAACTCCATGGTGTTCGTTTGTTTGTTTGTTTCTTTTGTGGGCTTTTTGTTTGTTTGGGTACTTTTGTTTTATTGTTTTTCATTTGTTTGTTTGTTTGAGAGAAAGAAGCTAAAGTTGGGCAGGAAGCAGGTGGGGAGGGGCTGGGAGGAGTTGGAAGAGGTGCAAACCACGATGGAAATATGTTGTATGGAGAAAGACTAAATGTGGAGGGAAAGAAATGTGCTTTAAACATTTGCCTCAGTGGAGAGCCCTGCTTTCAAGGCCAGCCTTTCTCAGCCACAGGAACCAGTTTGGACAAGAGCTGTGCTGGTGGGCAGTGCTTGGAGAAGGAGGGAGTTTGTGTGGTCTGCTTTGCCCTTCTAGTCTAGCCCTGTTTCGAGGGCCCCAGCAACCCAGGGAACCCAGCTGGACAATCCTAAGTGTCAGAACAAATGCCTGCCCTTTCATGTGTGACCATGCACAATTCCATTAGGACAATTTGTTTTAATATGGATATTAATATGTATTCAAGTAGCTATATTTAATTCAGTTATGTCTCTCATGAGCCAGACTTTGTAATTAGATTTAGTGTACATTTCTTGTATACTAGATATTTTTCTCCTTACATGCACTATCCCCTTAAGTCCCCCAGTAGTCCTGGAGTTAAGTTCTATTATTATTCTATAATAGCTTAACTAGCTGAACTGTACAGTGACACTCGTCAGGGAGTGGCCTGCTGGGATTGCCACTGTATGCCCATGCCTGCTTCAGATGGATGTCCTCTCGCCATCTGAGTTAGAGGCAGAAGACTAAGGACTGCAGTAATGTGAGGGGTTGTAGGGTCTGGAGATGGAAGTCATGCAGGGAAGAAAAGGGAAAGCTTCTGAGAGGAGACGCAGGCTAAGTTTGAAAAAATAGCATAGGAGTATTCTACTAGCCCAGGAGTAGGGCAGGGCCCTGTGGAGATGAGAGATAGGAGCCAGTTGCTGTGCTCTCTTACACTTGGTAATCACTCTGTAAGTTCCTTGCCTAGCAACCCTTCCCTTCACTTCCTATGTTAGTGCCCAGTTGATTGCCCTTAAATGCAGGTCTGATATTGATACTTCCCAACTACCAATCCTTTAGAGTTCATGGTGTATACAGGCCAGCCAAGCCCACAGTCTTCCACACAACATGGGCACCAGAAGGCCAGTAAAGATAAAAGGCTCTCACCCACACATAGGATTTAAAATGGTCACCGTCATGGTAGCTGAGTAGAATAGTGGTTACCAGAGGCAGGGGGACAGTAAAGGCAAGAAAGGGACAGAGAGAGGTTGATCTGTGGGTACCAACTCACAGTTAGCTAGGAACAAGAAGCTCCTGTGTACAACTGTGTAATTGAGTGACTGCAGACAGGGCTAAACCATTCTACACTGCAAATAGCTAGGGCAAAGTAAGTTAAGAGAGAGCCATGTGGTGGTGTAAGCCTTTAACTCCGGCACTCAGAAATAAAGGTAAAGCATCATGGGTTTGAGGCCAACTTGGGCAATGCATGGAGACTATCTCAAAACAAAGGCAAAACCAAATCAAAAGAAATGAGAAGTTGCTGGACAGTTGTTGCATACACCTTTAATCCCAACATTTGGAGGCAGAGGGAGAGGGGCAGAGGGGCAGAGGCGCAGAGGGGCGCAGAGGGGCGCAGAGGCGCAGAGGGGCGCAGAGGCGCAGAGGCGCAGAGGCAGAGGGACCTCAGTGAGTTCAAATACAGCCTGGTCTACAAAGGTGAGTTCCAGGACAGCCAGGACACAAAGAAATCCTGTCTTGAAAAATCAAAAAAAAAAGGAGAGAAATTCTGGAGACACACTTGATGTATGTTTATGTGCGTGTGCATTACATACTGTTTAAGTCAGGTCATCATAGATTTAATATGTGTATATGCACCATGTAATGTTTAGGTTCACCTTGGTAAAGACCCTGCAAGTTGATTGCCTCCTGCCCTTCCGGTTAGCCTTTTATGTTAGTATCAGACAGTCTTTTCTAAACATTATCCAGCATATGCATAATACAGAAACATCACATAGTAACCTACTTATACACATGATTTTTAAGTTTATGTATGAGTTAAAAATAAATTTAATTTCAAAAGCATCCCTGGAGGGGTAGAAGAGATAGCTCAGCAGTCCAGAGTGCTTGCTGCTGTAGTGGTGGGCCGAGTTCAAGTCCCATCACCCATGTCAGGTGGCTCGCAAGCACTGGGACCTCTAGCTGCAGGGGGTCAGATGTTCAGTTTGGGTCTCTGCAGGCTCCCACGATATGTGTGTGTATAGACTTACACAGACATATATGCATACGTGAAAAATAGATCTTAAAATAAATGTTCCTAGAGAAGAAAGGAGACATTAAGGTCCAAAACCCAACAGATCTGGGGACAAAGAAAAACTAAAAGCAAAAGTAGGCGACTGAAAGAGTGCACATGTTAGGAAGAGTGGAGAGGGCTGTGATCTGGCGTCTAGGAAAGAGGAGGTCATTGATAAGATTCCAGTGAACTTTGAATTTTATACTTATAACTGGAGCTTAAGAAAAGATAATGTTAGGCTCACTACTGTTTGTTTTTAATGACAAGTTAGAAAGAACATGAAAATGACATGCTCTGGACATATTTGATGGTAGGAAACTTAAAGTTTAGAGGAATAATTGATGTGGACATCCGATAGGATCACTAGGTAGAAATGGAAAAACAGTTGCATGGAGTTGATAAGTAAGAAATCAATAAGGGAATCTAAGTGGAAATTACGTGCTTCCTATTACTAATATTTTGAGGTAAACATGCATTTATATTTTTTAACCTCCTTAAAATGACAGGTGCCAGCTGGGACTAGAGCAATAAATCAGCCTTTTGCACCTGACTGTTTCATTCAGACTCCAAGTCACAAGCAGTTACTGGCTGAAATGATGCAGTCTCACATGGTGAAGGACTTGTGTGTAATTGGAGGCAAGGTGAGAATGGCAGCTCGGGTGTAAGCCTTTGCTTGCCGGCTGTGAGGGTGTGGACTCCGCCTTTACATGTTGGTGTTTCTGTTTGTAGGGCTGCGGGAAAACGGTCATCGCTAAGAACTTTGCTGATATCTTAGGATACAACATAGAACCCATCATGCTCTATCAGGTATGTCATTGTTTTCTCAAACTTGCCCTGGAAACAAGCATGCTCAGCCCATCAGTGCTTCTGACCTGTTGAACTTTTATAACTGAAATAACATTTAAATTAGAGAGCAGTTATATTTGTTTGCAATTGTGATAATGCCTTCTAGACTGTCTGGTGTGCACACCAAACCAGAATCTGTTTTTCAATAGATTTATTTTATGGGCATGCAACCTCTGTGTACCCTGAACACTGAACACATTGGTCAATAATTTGGAAAGCTAAAAATTGAGTATTATCTGATGTTGAATTCTATCTTCTGGATATGACATGGTATAATTGTCTTGAAATCAGAGCAGCTGGGATTATCTAGAAGTTGGACCAACATTAACATTGCCTTATGGAGACAAAGGACGGCTCACAAGGCAGTCCAAGGGCTGGCCATAAACAACTTGAGAGCACGTGCATTCTTCCCCCAGATATACAGGCTTTTACAGTTCCTGGGCTTGGAGACATTTTCTTTGGTAGTGTAACTGCCCAAAAGTAGGTTGCCATGGTTTGTAGCTAACACCTCACTCATGTTCATGTAAGGAAATCCAGTTGCTTATCATACCTTAGTCTGTTGTTGGTGTCCTATCTGGGACGAGTAGACAGTTGGTCATAATATCTCTATAGAAAAAGAGAACAGAAACAGGTTATTACATTATTATACTAGACATACTATGTAACATTTCCACTTTGCTCACTTTTGTATATGTAATTCACTGGTGCTAAGTACATTAACAATTATCAGTAACCATCACCACTTTAAAATTCGTATTACATTTATTTGTTTATTGTGTGTGTGTGTGTTTGTGTGTGCGTATGTGTGTGGAGTTCCAAGGACAACTTCCAAAGTTGGTTCTCTCCTTCGGCCATGTAGGTCCCAAGGGTTGGACTCCGGTGGCCTGGGTTGCTGGCGGGGACCGTTACCTGCCGAGCATCTTACCAGGGTCACTTGCTGCTGCTGCTCTTGCTGCTCTTCCTTTTTAATAGAAACTCCAATCCCAGTAACCAGTAACTCCCAAGTTCCATCCTCACTTAATCCTGATAACCTCCATTTTACTTTCTACCCCTGTAAGTTTGTTTATTTTAGCTACTTCATATAAATGGAATCAGATGCCTTTTGTCTTTTCCTCTCTAGTCTACTGAATTTACGCTAATGTTGTCCATGTTAGAGCAGACAGCAGAATCTCACTCATTTCCTGGCTGAACAGTATTGCCGCACACACTATTGTGGCATGGAGCTTGCCCTGTTCTGGTTTCTGGCTGTGAGTGTTGCTGTTGTGCTCAGTGGGGAAAGAGCCTGAGTTGCTGCTCTCAGCTCTGTCAGGTTATTCATGGAAGTGTGACTGCTAAGCCCTGCACAGGGGGAACTGCACGGCAGCTGTGCACTTCACCTCCCACAGTCCTCATCAATGACCACTGTCACCTTTTGTTTCTGTTTTATAATAGTCATCCTAGTGGGTGTGAAATGACTTGACGTCATACTTTTGTATCCCCCCCATTACAGAGGGGTTGAACATTTTTTTTGTTTATTGGCATTTTATATCTTCTTTGGAGACATGCCTATTCAAATTCTCTTTTATGTTTTTTTGTCCTTCAATTTTTTAAAATTAATTTTTAAGTTTGCATTCAAAGTAATGGTTTCAGTATAACATTTTTTTGTGCATAGGTATCACACTTTGCTTTAAATCACTCCCTTCCCTGCTGACTCCCTCCATCCCTTCTCTTTGTCCCTTTCCTTAAGGCCTCTTCCTGTCTATCTTCATCGAATTTCTAGTATCAGGCCTACACGTGAATGTGCACGCACACGCGAGCACACACATGCGCTCACACATTTTTAGAATAGGTTCTGCTTATGGAAAAATGTGGTATTTGTTCTCTTGAATCTGACTTGTTGACTGCCACTGATATGTGAGTGCTAGTTTTTGCACTGTTACACACATCCTCGTGCTGCCAGTTGTCCTGATGCACCTGGGTAGGATAGTTTCATTGCTTCCCTCCCTTGGCTGTTTTTTTCTGGAACCATCATAGCTAGATCGCAGGAAAGAGGCTTTCAGGTCAGATCCAGCAAGTCATCCAAGTCCTGTGTCCTAAGTGTGTGGTGTCTTCAGCTATAGGGACCTACCCTTAATACCGGAGACATAGCCAAGGGCTACATTAATGCCGTTCATCTGTAAAGGAAAGCAAAATCATGAAATTTGCAGGTAAATAGATGGAACTAGAAAACTGAGCTGTGTAACACCGACCCAGAAAGACAAATCCTTCATGTTGTCTCTTATTGGTGGTACACAGATCAAAATCCTGAGGAGTGCATGTACAACGTGGAGTAACCACAGAAAAGTATAAAGCAACCATACATAGTTAGAAGTGGGTGCTGGACAGAGAATAGCAAGATATGGAAAATGGGAATAATAGAGAAGGGATCCAACTGGGGAGGAAGAAGAGGGACAAATAACACCAAGGTTGTTTGTTAAGGCTTCAAAGGATTATATTAATTTATATTTACCTAAAATTACAATAATGTAAGTGTATACACACATGCGTATGTACATATGTGCATTCACATATATCTGAAAGGAAGTTAAGCCACCCTGGCTGACAGTGCTGTGCACAAGAAACAGACTAAAAACCCCAGTCTCAGACATGAGAAACCTCATTTCAAAGGTTTGGCCAGGGTAACCCAAGTGACTCCTAAAACGATCAATATAGATATTTTCAGGTTTTTGAGGAAGCTTCATACTGATTCCATCTGTGGGTGGACCAATTTATATCCTGCTAACAGCAAGGGAGGGGTTTTTTTTTTCCCTCAATGCCTTGTGAGCATCTTTTATTACTTGTTTTTTGTTTGCTTGTTTGTTTGTGTTTTTTTATGACAGCTATTCCTATGAGGGTGACACAGTATTGTAAAGCAGTTTGATTTTCATTTGTCTGAAAAATATTGGATACTTCTCAAGTATTTGTTGGCTCTTGAATTTCATATTTTGAGAACTGTGTTGAATTTATTAGCCTATTTACTGATTAGATGATCTTTGATGTGAATTTTTGCTGTATTGATGTCTTACCTGGTGTGTGGCTGTGAAGGCTCCTCCCCTACTTCAAATGCTGCCCTCACTCTAGCATTTATTTTCTCAGCTGTGCAGATTTTTAATTTCATGTGATTTCATTTGTCAGTTCTTAGGATTATTTCCTGTGCCATTGGAGTCTTTGTTCAGAAAATTCTTGCTGTGTGTCTATCTTGAAGTATTTTACCTGTCTTCCCCTGGCACTTCCAGTCTCTCAGGCTTTATATTAAAATCTTTGAGCATTTTGAATTAAGTTTTGTTCAGGGTGAGAGATATCAACCTGACTTTATTCTTCTACAGGGGAATCTAATTTCCCCAGTATTATTTGTGAACAGGCTATCTTTGTTCTGCAGTCTGCCTTTTTTTTCCATCAGAAACTAGGTGACTGTATCCGTCTAGGTTTCCTTCAGGATTCCACTGGTCTCTGTGTCTGTTTTGAGTATGTCAGTGTCATGCTATTCTTGTGGCTGTGGCTGTGAAATGTAATCTGAGGTCAGATACCGTGATGCCTGCAGCACTGACTTTCTAATCTGGGTTGTTGTAGCCTTTGTGGTATTTCCTGTTTCCATGTGAATTGTAAGGTTCTTTTCTCTAGTTCTGTGAAGAATGCCTGTAGAAGTTTGGTGGAATAAGAAAACCCCGCTGTGTTGTGGAGAGGTCCCTTCTGGTTATATCTGTTTCTTTTGTCTATGCCTCCTATGTTTTAAATATTGATTTTTTTCTCCTATTTTGAAATTGTTCTGCTATAATTTCACTGAACAGAATCTTTATCCTTTAGCGTTAATTCCAGCTCCTTCTTCTGGTTGGTGGATTTTTAGGTTTAGAGTCTTCATCTTAACTCAGAGTTCTTGTCCATACGGGTGTCTGCATAAGTGTCTGTTGGTATCTGTGTGTGCGCATGTATCTGTGCACAGGTGTGTGAGTGCACATTCGTGCTAATAGAGACTAGAGGTCAGTGTTGGCTATCAACTTCAATCTCACTCACCTGTATAGAGAAGCATCTGTGCTGAGCTAGCTCGTGAGGCTTGCCAGGAAGCCCCATGGTGCCTCTTATCTCCTCTCTTGCCCCAAGTGGGGTTACAGCTTGTGCCCATGTACCTGGAGTTTCATATGGTTTCTGGGGGCTTGGATCCATCTTCTCATGACTGCTCAGCAAGCACTTTATCCACTGAGCCTCCTCCCAGCCTTTTACCGTGGTTTATGCTGCAGTTCCGTCTGTGTTGGGCGATGGTCTGAGCTGTCTTCCCTCTGGCTGCTTTCCTTATGTGCACACAGAATGCATCTGCTGGTCCCAGGTTGTGGACCGACTGCTTCTCCCTTCCCCTGAGACTCCAGATTATCCCTTCTCCAGTCAGGGACTTGGACATGTTTAACTGGGCTTGTCTAGCTGTAGGCATTCTTTATACATTCTGGATATTGGCTCCATTCTCAAATCTGTGATTGGCAGATGTTTTTCTGATGCTATGTTTTTTCTTCTCCCCTTGGTTTGAACTTTGATGCACAGCAGTCTTTGTACCGAAGACCAGTTACCATTTCCCTTTACTGCTTATGTTTTTGCTGTTATATTCAGTAAATCACTGCCAAGGCAAATGATGTGATTTTCCCCCCTATTTTCTTCTAAGAATTTTACTGTTTTAGGCCTTAAATTTGGGCCTCTAATTCATTTTGAAAATTTTTTATATATGGTAGGCTCCAGCTTCAATATTTTCCAGGTAGGTGCAGTATTTTCCCAGCACCGATGTTTAAAATGTTTTCTCATCATAGTTGTGGCATATTTGATTAGGCATATGTGGCATATGTGATTCATCATCCACATAAGGATTTATTTTCTGGGTCTCTGTTCCCAGCCTTGTCTATGGGCCTTGCTGTGGTCCATTGCCACACTGTTTGATACCGCAGTTTCAGAATGCATTTTGA